TGGTAACTCTTTCCTGGACGGTAACTGAATGAAGACCTCACTGAGCTGCCGCCCTGAACTATCTTTGTAGTTGATCACAGTATCAATGATGGCGTTCATCTGTTTTGTCAGTTTGGGGGATTTGGTGACAGCTTCTCAGCTGGAGGGCGGCCTCGCCTCTTCTTAGCTTTTTCTACATCTTCCTTCACAGGATCTTTGTCCACATTTCTTCGGCTTTTTCTCTTCTTGAGCCATACTTCCCCTTCCATTTCTTCCAAATTGCCGTCTTCAATGGCCATTCCGGCAGAGGGGCTCTTCGGTGGGCTCTGGACGGCCTGGAGATAGATCTCCACGTGGTGAACGCCTTCTCTCTCAGCAGCCCCAACTACTGAAGTCAGGTTTCTTGAGAGAAATCAAGCCCCTCCATCCGAATTGGACTTCCTATCTGCCCTTGGGGCTCCAAAAACTATTTCCTGTACTTCTCTTTGGAGTTACCAATTGGGATTTCTGCTGTTCTAGTGGAGGTCTCAGATTAAGTTTACTGCTTTTCTTCTAACCGCGAAAATCTTTCTCTCCCGTGTCCTTCTGTCTGATCTAACACAGCATCACCCCCCTCCCCTGGAGCCCCCCACCCTCCGCCATCACCTGGGCTGGGGACTGGTAGAATCATGTTTCCCCTTGAGTGACTTTACTATGCAATAAAAAATACAGTGACTGCTGCTGCTGAGTGCCAGCCAAGGGAGAGGCAGCTCCTAAAACGAGACAGTGTCCACATCCACCTTACCTGTGAGATCTGCCATAATTCAGCACCAGACTCCGCCCCGAAGTCAATGTGATCATGAAAGGGAAACCTTTCTAATCTATTCGGGGGCCAGGGATCTAGCTCAGCAGCAGAGACCCTTGCCTGCAAGTGCACAGTCCTGAGATTGATCCCTAGTACTGCAAAAACAGAACAAAAGGCTGAAAGCCTAATCTATGGAGGATTTGGGGGCAGCCACAATAAGGCAACTAGACATTTCAGGAGGCTGGGGAGATAGCTTGGTGGTCTAAATGCCTGCCTGGCAAGTGCAAGGACCCAGGTTTGGTCCCCAGTACCACATGCTGTGCTGGCCCCTGAAACTGGGTGTGGTGGACACACCTATAATCCCAGCACTGGGGAGGCTGAGACAGGAGGATCTGAGTTCAAGCTGCAGAGTGAGACCCTATGCCAACTAAATAAATAAAAGATTAAAAAAATTAAAGACACTCAGGAAGGATTCCAAAACTGCCTCCAAAAGTGACAAGAACCATGGGATAAGTCTGTTGTGTGTGTGTGTGTGTGTGTGTGTGTGTGTGTGTGTGTGTGTGTTAAGAGGCATTAGTGGCAACCTGTCTTTGTAATACATTAAAGAAATATTTTTGAGGGCTGGGGAGATGGTTCAGTAGAATAAGCGCTTCTCTGGCAAACGCAACGGCCTAAGTTCAATCCCCGGTTCCTTAAAAAAAATATATATATATATATATATATATATATATATAGAGAGAGAGAGAGAGAGAGAGAGAGAGAGAGAAATACATTAAAAATGATTTTTGTAGCACATTTTAAAAAATGTAAGGACCACCAGGATAGCTCAGAGAACTAAATAAAGCGCCTGCTTAGGCAAGCTTAGGCAAGCGCCCGGCCTGCGGTTCGATACCTGGCACCACATGCCACGCCAGCCCGGCTCCCAGAGCAGGCTGAGCTGGCCAGAGTCCAGGCGTGGTGGCTCCTGCCTGTAATCCCAGCTCTGGGGAGGCTGAAAGCAGGAGGATCCCCACCAGTCTGAGCTGGGTAGTGAGACCCTATGATAACCAAATACATTTTTAAAGTAAATAAATAAAAATTTAAACGTGGTGTTTTTTGTCACACGTTGCACTGTACCCAGGCTGACCCTGGGGACTCCTCCCTCCATCTTTGGTTTTGGTTTCCCCATCTTAAGTCTTAGGATGCTTAAACTCTTAGCTCTCCACCTTCCGAAACCTCTAGCTCCAAGCCTAGCTGAGAACTAGCCTCTGTCTAAATTCGGCCCAAAGTCCCAGAGTTGATTCTCATTGGTCCGTCTCAGGTCATGTGATGTATGCGAGCCAATCTCCGAGGCTCCTATTGGTTGGTGTGTGTATCATGAGATCAGCTGTGAGCCGAAGGTTCGCAGCACAGGGGAAGATGGCTGTAGTGGTTCCTGGGTCGCTCCCAGCTGTGGTTATGGGGTCAAGGGTTCTCAAGCCAAGGAGAGTCCTAACTCACTTCTTTTTCCCCTAGGCCCCAAGCAGGACGCAGAAGCCGCCAAGAAGTTCATTCTGGAGATGTACACTGGGATGTACAAGGGCTGCGTGGACGGCTCCGAGGGTAGCAAGAAGGGCCCACGCTCCCGCCGCCTTTTCAGCCACTACACGTGCGCCACGGACACGCAGAACATCCGCAAGGTCTTCAAGGACGTGCGGGATTCGGTGCTGGCCCGCTACCTGGACGAGATCAACCTGCTGTGATCTTCGTCCTGTGAACAGTGACACCTACCTGCTGGGCAGGTGGATCCCAGACATCATTGCCACTCCAGCTGCAGGCTGCAGAAGATTCCACCCGGGCTCTCTTCCTTGACTCAGTTTACCTCCTTGGAAAATAGAGATAGAGCAGAACGGCCATTGAAGATGCCCGGGGTGGGGGGAGGCGAAGACATCAAGGGGCTTAAGATGTGCACGAGTGGTGTCTCTTAGGGAGCCCACCTGCGGATGTGTCCCAGGGACAGGCATGTGGCGCTCCCCGGGGGTGACGCTCACCTGGGATAACGGAAACCGTCTCCGGGAGCGGACTCTGGCGCCCTCTGGTGGACAGAGGCAGGAACGCGGCTGGAGGGTTAGCTATTGTATCTCCCCTGGCTAGGAGACAAGATCGCTGAAAAGTGTCCGGTCCTCAGCCTCTAGCCTCAGTGTCCTGCCCTGGTTTGCTGAGGAGGAAAACCGAGGCACGCATCAGGGTTTTCCTGCCTTCCAAGGCAGGGATCCCGATATACACCATGCAAATAGCTTTCTGTATTTATTCCCTCACTTTTTGAGGTAGGCATTAAAGAAAGGACACGCCAGACACCTGTGTTTCTTAGGACCGGTGTCACCAGCTTTCTGTTGTTCCCCACCCTCACCCCATTCTCTCTTCCGATTGCCTGTGCAGGTGCAGAAGTGTAGGGGAGGGGCGACAACCTGTCAGGAGGAGGAGGAGCATCCTGCTTGTTATCTATCCAGTTGGGTGGGCTCCGCGCCTGGAGCTCCACTGGATGGTGGCAGTTTGAGGAAGAGATCAGAGTCTCAGCAGCAGTGGTAGTGCACGCTTGTCTTCCCAGCCCTCGGGAGGCTGAGGCAGGAGAATCACTGAGAGTTGGAGGCCACCCTGAGGTACACAGTGAGACCCTATCTCAGAAAAAAACTCAGACTGTGACCTCTACCTGGATTGAGGGGCCCCTCCTGTGGCTGCCCACCTCAAAGTGCCACACAGCTTCGATGAGGATGAAAGTGGTGGCAGCTCCTGCATCCCGGGGGAGGCCCAGCTGTCTCACGCTGTACCCCACCCGTCATTCAGCAGTGGAGGCTAAGGCCCAGAGAAATGATTTGGCCGGTGTTGTCCAACTCAGAGGTGACAGGGCCAACATTCTGGTCACTCATTCAACATGGTTGCTTTGACTTTTAAAAAGTTTACGTTTCACACTGTGCCTGACGGTGCCTACCTGTCATCCCAGCACTCTGGGAGGCTGAGGCACGAGGAGCACCACAAGTTTGAGGTTAGCCTGGACTACATAGTAAGTTTAAGGCCAGCTTGACTTGCATAGTTGTCTCAAGATAACAAAGATCTGGGGGTGTAGCTGAGTGTGAAACTGCCGGGTTCAAATCCCCAGTGCTTCCCCCTTAAAAAAAAAAGTCTCCCTTGGGACTTGGGTGTTTCTGTCATGGTCAACTGGGATTATGGGTTTGAGTGTTGAGACCACAGAGCGTCTGTCAGGCTCCTTCTCAGTGTATGCTCTGTGCATGTGTCTTGAATATATTTTCTTTACTGTTTATTTATTTATTTATTTTGGTGTTTTTTGTTGCACCTTGCAGTTCAGGCTGGCCTTGAACTCCTGGTGACCTTCCTGCCTTAGCCTCCCAAATGCTGGGATTACAGGCCTGTGTCACCATACTCAGCTTCCTCCTGTTTTTTTTTTTTTTTATTCTGAAAAGATTTCAGACCTACAAAAGTTGCGAAGTAAAAGAAAAAAAAGTTGCAAAGTGATTATAATTAATCCCCCCCCCCCCGACTGGGTTGAGCTGACAGACATGGCAGAAGGCTCAGTCCTACTGTAAGCCCCTTTTTGTGAATACAGCTTTCTTGGCACAGGGCCACACCTGTGCATTCTTACAGCTGGTCCTCTGCCTCTCCAGTGCCATAAAATCAGGTACACCCAACACTGGATCCAAAACATCTTGGCGAAAAGTACGGTACCACCAGGTTCCACAAGTCACATTGGCTGAGTCCCAAGCGCTAAATTAAATCCACACCAGTTGTGTGCTGCGCTGCTGCCCCTGGTGAGGGATCCCAGCCCTGCCGCAGACCGCCGGCGCCCTGTGTGCGAATCTGTCCTGAGCATGCGCAGATGATTTTCGTGGCTTGATCCGGGCGTAACTACTAACAGCGCAGCGTCTGCCTCGTCTCCGGTGTCCCGAGTCTCTTAGCCCGGAAGTCTACAGGAGGACGCGTGCAGGTTCTATGCAAGCAGGCGTGACCCCAAAGCCGGTGCGTTTGAGTTGTTTTTTTTTTTTTTAATTTGTTACAAAGACACGTTGCCACGCAGCCCTATCAGATTGCTCTCACTGAGAACACGGGGATCCCTGGGCTCGTGGCATTTTCTTTTTCTTTTTCTTTTTTTTTTCCTTGTTTTTAAAACTTTTATGAGCAGGAGTGATGGCCCACCCGTGTAATCACAGCGCTTAGGAAGCTGAGGCAGGAGGATCACTGCAAGTGCCAGGCCAGCCTGGGCTACATAGTGAGTCAAGATTCGCCCGAACTGCATATCCAGACCCTGCCTCAAAAATAAATAAATAAATAAATACATTAGTACAATCCCATTTGTTTATTCATGTGCTACTTCTTGTGCAATTAGGGGTTCTTTTCAGAGAGCCCTTGGCTACACCTCTGTCTTCAAGAGTTTTACTTATTTTTCCTTTGTTCTCAGCACCCTGGAGGCTGAGGTAAAAGGATCCCTGTGAGTTCGAGACCGTCCTCTACTACATGGTGTGTTCAAGGCCAGCCTGTGAGACCCTGTCTCAAACAACAAAAAGGAGTTTTACCTATTTTATCTTTGAGCAGATTGTTTCTGTTTTAATATTCAGATCTTCAATCCATTTTTTTTTTTTTTTTTTAATTTTAGTGCACGGTAAAGGCTATGGATACAGATTCAATCTTCTGTATGTGGATAGCCAGTTTTCCCAGACTGGTGTAGATTTAATACAGCTCAACCAAAACCACAAATCGCACTCCTCACAGAACTAGAGAATGCAATTCTAACATTTTTATGGAGGGCTGCAGAGATAGCTCAGTGGTCTAAGCACCCACCTGGCAAGCACAAGGACCTGGGTTTGATCCCCACTACTGCGTGCCGTGCAGGCCTCCCCTCCCCTGGGCTCATGGAGCTGGCCACCAAAACTGGGTGTGGTGGCACATGCCTGTAATCCCAGCACTGGGGAGGCTGAAACAGGAGGATCACTATGAGTCTGAGCTACGTAGTGAGACCTGGTACCAAATACATAAATAAATAAATAAAATTTGTATGGAGCCAGGAGAGACTGAGAGGAGCAGTAGCAATTCTGGGAAAGAAGAACAAAGCAAACCAGAGCAAAGCATCAGAACCCTGGATTTGGGGCTGAGGAGATGACTCAGTAGAATAAGCACTTGCCTGGTAAGTGCAAGGGTCTGAGTTCAATCCCCAGTACCACCAAAAATAAATAAATAAATAAATAAATAAAAAAGGAGCCCTGGATTTGAAATTGTATTACAAAGATACCATGATAAAAACAGCATGGCTTGGATGCAAAAACAGAAAAGGGGATGGATGGAATGGAATAAAGGAAGCAGGAACAAGTACAGGCACAACCAAGTATTTGATCTTTGACAGAGGAGGCATAAACTCACACTGGAGAGGAGACAGCCCCTTCGGCACGTGGTGCTGGGAAACCAGCAGCCCAGGCGCAGGGGAGCGCGCCCTGCCCCTTGTGGTGCAGCCGTCGCGTCCTCTTTCGTTCCTTAGTTCCGCTGTCTGGATGCTTCAGTGCCCTGCTGGATCCAATTTCTCTCTCATGGTCATTTTTGGCCTTGGGGAGAAGCCAACAGTGTCAGACTGAGGACAGCAGCGCATGATGAGAGTGCAGCAGCAGCAGTCACCGTGTTTTTGATCACAGTTTGTGAAGAAACTCAGGGAAAAGCACCCCAGAGCTGCTCAGCAGGATGATATCCAAAATGACGGGGAGGATTCTGAGAGACATTCAGAGCAATGTGGCTTTTCCTGTAATACAATTTTAAAATGGTAAGCACCGTATATTTAATCAGCTCGCCTCGATCTCCTGCCTTAGCCTCCCCGGTGCGGGGTTGCACGTGTACACCCCCCAGGCTTGCTATTTTTACTTTTTCTCAAGTTTCCCTTTGCCATGGTGAGCCTGAGGTGAAGAGGTCGCATACCCTGCTACGCCACGCATCTCCCTGGCAAGGCTGTCTCTCACATAATCCGGGCTGTGGACGGCAGCATGGAAATTTACAGATCCAGTAATATTCTGTCACGCCGAGGGCAGGACATTTGATTGCGTGTTCCAGGATTGTTATTAATTATATTTTTTTAAAAAATGGGGGGGCCTGGCCCTAGCTCAGGCCTTTAAGTGGCTGCTTCCACAAAGCTGTCAGCCTCAGGTTGCTGGAGTTCGAACCTCACACCTCTCCCG